TTGGGACAGGAGTGTGCCTGGAACATGTGGGGAACAAGGAGGACAACATGGCTGGGCAGAAGTGAGAAATGGAGGGAGCAGCAGGGGATGAGGTCAGAGAGGTTGTCGGATGGGGGTCAGTCTGTACCGGGTATTTGTAGGTCATCTAAGGACATTGAGTGAGTTGGGAAGCAAACAGAAGATTTTTATTAGAGTTGACATGATTTGTCTTACATTTAACAATGTCGGCTGGGCACGGTGGCTCATGCCTGTAATCCCAGTACTTTGGGAGGCTGAGGTGGGCAGATCACCCAAGGTCGGGAGTTAGAGACCAGCTTGACCAACATGGAGAAACCCCGTCTCTACTAAAAATACAAAATTAGCCGGACATGGTGGCACATGCCTGCAATCCCAGTTTCTCAGGAGACTGAGACAGGAAAATCACTTGAACCTGTAAGGTGGAGGTTGTGGTGAGTTGAAATTGCACCACTGCACTCCAGCCTGGGCAACAAGAGTGAAACTCCATCCAAAAAAAAAAGAAAAATTGTCACTTGGCTGCTGTGTTCAGAATAGACCATGGAGAAGCACGGATGAAAGCAGAGAGACCACTTCAGAGGTGATTGCCACAGTGTAGGCAAGCAGTGCTGGTGAGAAAGAAATCAGTGCAATTCCAATCCAAATTCCAACAAGATTTACTGAGGAGCTTGAAAAGCTTATTCTAATATCCAAAAGAACTATCAGAAATATCTGAAAATTCCAAGAATAGTAAAAACTTTCTTGAAAGAAAATGAAATAAAACCTCATATGCTGGAATTTCTTCCTAATTCCTTGTTGAGAACTTTTCTCCTTAATTTTTCATTCTGGTTTCTTCATCACAAGTTTTTTCCTCCTTCCTATATCATTTCTATCTGTTCACAAAGATGATGTAGAATCTCCTATCTTATAAGAAGAAGCAAATGAAAGGAAGCAAGGAAGAGGAGGAGAGGAATGGAAACAGGGAGGGAAGAAGGAAAGGCATTTCTTGGTGGTATGAATTTGGACAAGTTAAATAACCTGAACTCTCTCTGCCTCAGTTTCCTCATCCTTAAACCAGGAATGATAATAATTGTACTTATTTCATGTTTTTTTGTGATTAGTATATACTTATTGCCTACTATATGCTAGAGATAAGGTGGTAGAAATTAAAGACATGGTCACTGGCCTCATAGAACAACCCTGAAATCATCCTTGACTGCTTTAGTTCTTTCACATCCCAAATCCAATCTATCAGCAAATCTTCCTGGGTTAACTTTCACAATAGATCCAGAATCTTACCACTGTAGTTCTCATTTTCTGCACTGTTACCCCCTGGCTTCCACTGTCATCACTGGGTTCTTGTCACCATTATTATTCTATTATTGCAATAGCCTCTTTTTTTTTTTCTGCCCTTACCCCACTTCATCCTATTCTCAACACAACAGCTAGAGCAATCCCTCTTCTGCTGAAGACCTTCTAATGGCTTCCTAGCTCATTCAGAGTAAAAGTCTAAGTTCTTATGATGACCTACAAAGTCCTACAAGATGTCCTTCCACCTCCTCCACCTTGCTTCTTAGATGTCATCTGCTACTTTCCCTCTTGCCGCTTCTTAAAGCATGCTCCCACCTTGCCTCTTAGACGTCATCTGCTACTTTAAAGCATGCTCCCACCTTGCCTCTTAGACGTCATCTGCTACTTTAAAGCATGCTCCCACCTTGCCTCTTAGACGTCATCTGCTACTTTCCCTCTTGCCGCTTCTCAAAGCATACTCCACACTGGTAATTCTGTCTGCCTGGAAAGCTCTTGCTCCTGATAATGACAGGGCAAGCATCCTTACCTTCTTCAGGTCCTTGCTGAAATGTCTACTCATTAAGACCTTCCTTAATCACCTTATTTAAAATTGCAACAGTCCCCAGTCATACCTTTATTCCCCTTTTCTGCTTCATTTTTCTCCATAACACTTTCCATCGTCTACCAAAATATACACTCATTTATATTGTTTATTTTCCATCTCATCCCTCCCCTTAGAATGTAAGCCCCATCAGGGGGTGAATTTTTCTTGGTTTCGTTCACTGCTCTATCACTAGCACTTAAATAGTTTGATAAATATTTACTGAGTGAACGTTCAAAGCTCATGTTTTACCAGAGAAAACAGGCATTGAACAACTAATTATATAATTAATAATTAATTATAATGAATAATTATAATTACAGTGAAAGCTATCAAGAAGAAGAAGATGTTAAGATTATTAACAAAGCATATCATCTTTTTTGAGAAGGGGATCAGGGAAGTCAGGGGGTCAACTGAAATCAGACTGTTAGGTTAGCTAGACAAAGAAAAGGTAGAAGAGGAATGTAAAATAATTAGGTTATTGATAAAATTGGTGATAGGGAAACAATAGTAAGTACTATGTATGATTTAAAATTATACAAATTATGGCATCTATACCTTTAGGGAGCTTTAAAATAATAGGAAATCTGTTGTCCTGGATGAATTTGGATATTTGTCTACCTAAAACAGGGTATAGGATCATGTGATCTTTCAAAGCAGTTTTCTAATTAAATGTGATCAAATTAAGAAAGATTTCAAGAGAGTTGTTACTAACAGGAAAATAGTAGAGTTGCTAAACTCTCATTGAGGACTAAGAACTTTTGCAATTCTTAAGTGTTCCAGTTAGGTCTCAGGGCCATGTAACCATCTTTAGAAGAGGCTTGTGGCATGGAAATCTGTATTTTTAATATTTGAAAAATCTCCTTCTCAAAATACAACTAAACCATTAATAGATCTTTGATATTTTTGTATTATCCTAAGCAAAGTCTGTTTTATCAGACCAATAATGTTTTGTGAAGTGTTCTTAGTTGGAAAGTCAAGAAAAAGCTTTCTAAAATGATCATTATTACTTAACAGTTTATATTGAGTATCAAACCAGAAATGGAAACAAATGGTCTGAAAGTAGAATAGAATATTTGAAAGCAGGATTTTCCTGGCAATTTTGGGACATTTGGTCACTGTAATTTAGGCCAGCATAAATAATACTATAGGAGTCCCTAGTCTCAAATACTTGTATCATTTCATCCCAAGTGAAATTTAAAGTTCCAGAAATATTTATATTATGTTCAGTGTAAATCAATTTTTTCTCTTTATCTTTTATTTTCCACACTTACTATATTAAGTACATAATTCCTATATATGTTAAGATAAATTAGGTTAGGTTACAGGAATAACCAACTAAAATATTAATGGCTTAAAACAATAAGGGTTTATTTCTATCATGCTAAATGTTCATCAAGATCTAGGAGAGAGACTCTGCTCATTATAATCACTTAGGCTCCCTGCACTTATAGAAGCTCTATCTGTACCTGTGTTTTCTCAGTCACTAAACCAGAAAAAAAGCAATGTGATAAATTACACATTGGTACTCATAACTTCCATTCAAAAGTGACATATGTACACCCAAGTAGAATATACCTAATCCAAATATCAAAGAAGGCAAAGAAGTACAATCTTACCACGTGGTCTAGAAGAAAACCTAGAATATCTGTGAACACCCTAAATGACTAACACAGCACATGTGTGTGGAGGGGAGGTGGAGGGGATAAGTATGAAATGTAACTCATACTTTGTGTGGAAATACACTTTCTGTACTGCAAAGATATAATATGTAGTTGGCCCTCTGTATCTTCAGGCTCTGCACTCTTGAACTTAACTGCAAATCAAAAATATTTGAAAAGTCAGGGTACAGTAGCTCACACCTATAATCCCAGCACTTTGGGAGGTCAAGGTGGAGGATGGTTTGGGACCAGGAGTTCAAGACCAGCCCAGGCAACATAGCAAGACCCTGTCTCTACAATAATTTTTTTTTTTTTTAAATTAGCCAGGTTTTGTGGTATACACCTGTAGTCCCAGCTACTCAGAAGCTAGGAGCTTAAGCAGGAGCTTAAGCCTAGGAGTTCAAGGCTGCAGTGAGCTATGACTGTGCCACTGCATTCCAGCCTGCATGACAGAGCGAGACCCTGCCTCTAAAAACAAAAATCAAACATATTTCAGGGGGGACAATAAAAAATAACAACGTTACAATAAAAACCATATGCATAAAAATTGTATAGTATAGCAACTATTTATATAGCATATACATTGTGTAGATATTATAATAATCTAGAAATGATTTAAAGTACAGATGCTTCTCAACTTTCAATGGGGGGTTGTGTCCCCCCATTGAAAATATCTTAAGTGGAAACTATGTTTTTGACTTATGATGTTTTCAACTTGTGATAGATTTATCCAGACTTAACCCCAATGAAAGTTGAGGGGTCTACTCAATGCATGTCACTTTTGCACCATCATAAAGTCAAAAGATTGTAAGAGAAACTATAGAAAGTTGGGGACCCTCTAAATACAGGAGGATATGCATAGGGTATGTGTAAATACTGCTCCATTTTATATAAGGAAATCAAGTATCCATAGATTTTTGGTATCTGCAGGGAATCCTGGAACCAGTCCCCCAAAGATACTGAGGAATGACTATATATCCAGAAAATACTAATTTATAACCTTAGTATTATTTTCAAAATTGAAATAAAATTAACCCTTTAAATTAATTTATTTATACCAGGGTATAAATACTGCTGAAATTTCCAACACATTTTACAAATTTTTATTTCTATTTTTAAGCAAAGGCTTCCTCCGGGAACTGATTTTCCCATACATAAATAACTTTTGCCTAATTCTAGTTTAATGAGCTTCCTTTCATCCTCCTTTTTGTTTCTCTTACTCCTTCCCTCTAGAAATTTCAACATTCATCTGACATCTTAAGAAAAATAGTTACCTATATGGATCCATAAAATAAATTATAATATTTTACATTATAAACTTCTTTAGAGTCAGAGCTGTCTGTTTCTTCAAATTGTTATAATCACATGTGAGATAACTGTGTTGAAAACACTGAACACATTAATATTTTATAATCATTTTTAAACTATAAATAATATTTCTATTTCTTCTAAAGGTATTTCATGATGTGGCTTATAAAGCTAAAGATCGTAATGACTTGGTATCAGGAATTGATGAGTTTCTGGATCAGGTTACTGTTCTCCCTCCTGGAGAATGGGATCCAAGCATCCGAATAGAGCCTCCCAAAAATGTACCTTCCCAGGTATGTATATTTGAAGACATTTTTTGAAATTGAATATTTTTTGTCTTTTAAATGCATGTTTCACAATAGCATAATCCATCAAGAAGATTCAAATGATTGAAATGATAGCCTCGAAGGCAGAAGGGGCATGAAGTTACAAGATATTTCTTAATACTCTCCAACACACATTACTGAGAAACTTGGCAGTTTGATGACAACCTACTAATCAAACAGTGCCATATACCTGGAAAGATTTTAGCTCCTACTTAACATGTATTATACAAGAGGAAGATTAAAATTGTAATAACAATATAAAATATGGCCTGAGAGAAAGCCCATTACTGTCCTTCTATGTTTTGATACATCACTTTGAAATTGGCAAGCATTAGGAAAATTCAAAGACATGACTTAATCATATTATGTAGAAAACTCCACATTTATTACTGCTAATCACAGTAAATATTGGGAAGATTTTAAAATTCTAATTCTTATATTTGTATTGCTTTTGTGTGGATGTATGATATAAAGATTTTTTTAATTTTGCGTATGAACATATAATGGATATTTTACCCATCATACAATCCAGAAAGATAGAAATATAAAGCATTGCTATTTTCTAGGGTCACTTTTTAAATTGCAGTCATGACTATTAAGAATGATGACCAAATGTTTGTTAAGCTCACTCCTCACACTGCCACCTCTATGCCTACTGAATCTGCCTCCCACAGCCCTCCCAAGTTGTTACGTACTTAGTCTTGCCTTTGGCCTTTGCCCTGTGGAGTTCAGCCTGGTCTGACTCTGCTGCCCTATTGGAAGCGACAGATGGTCTAATTGACCCAGCTCTGGAATTAGAAATTTTCCTGCTTTGCCAGAGGTGGGCAAATGAGCAGTTGTACCACTCAACCATGAGTACTTAAAAAGGGTATCTCAATTTCACTGTCAGTTTAAAGAAACTCTATGGATACCTCATTTTTATATTTTCATTTTGAAGTCATTTCATAATTATTAAAGACTATTTCCTTTTCTCAAAACTTACCATTTTGTGATTCTGTAACTGCTACCACATTTTTCAGCTGATCTATTACTAAAATAAAAACAGTTGCCTAATAATTAATTATAGGGGTTATAGATTGTCTCATTCCTGTACTTGTAGAATACATCTTTATACTAATGATATTAGAAAAGGCAATATAATGCTTCCTGAATATGTAGAAACTCCTTAATTAATATTATTTGGAGAAATTCAGCAAAATATTAACACATTCAGAATGAGGCTTTAAAATTCACTGTAACACCAATTAGCTATTGAAACATTAAAGATGAAGTTAAGTGTTTTTGAAAACAGCTTTGTGAACAATAATGTTTTTGAGGCAAATTGAGTGATGGGAGGCCAATATTGTTTATGATTTTATGACACCCTTTAAAATCAGAATTAATTATCGGATTCTGGGTATTGAGAGGCAGTCGTAAAAAGAACATCGAATTAAGAATCAGGGCATCTGGGTTCTGCAATTGTCTATATATGTATGACCTTGAACAAATGTTTTAACCTCTCTGTTGATGCTCTATATCAGCACTGTCCAACAGTCCTCTGCAATAATGGAAATATTCCATATCTATGCTGTCTAGTAATCAGGCCACTAGTAAGCATTAGAAATGTTGCTACTGTGACTAAAGAACAGAATTTTTCATTTTAATTACCATAAATGTAAATAGACATATGCAGTTTGTGGTTATCATATTAGACAGCATAGTTCTATACAACAAATTTGAATTTCAGATATGCTTTATGCTTCTTTTCAACATTCATGTTTTAAAAATGTATGTTGTAATTGAATAATAGATAGCATGAGGCTATGTTTTCTATTAGATGGAGTGAAATGAGTTAATATGTATTAAACATTCTGACCTCATACTCATTCAAATATATATATATATATATATTTTTGAGATAGAGTCTCGCTTTGTCACCCAGGCTGGAGTGCAGTGGCGTGATCTCGGCTCACTGCAAGCTCCACCTCCCGGGTTCATGCCATTCTCCTGCCTCAGCCTCAGAGTAGCTGGGACTACAGGCGCCCACCAACGCACCCGGCTAAGTTTTTGTATTTTTAGTAGAGAACGGGGTTTCACCGTGTTAGCCAGGATGGTCTTGATCTCCTGACCTCCTGATCTGCCCGCCTCAGCCTCCCAAAGTGCTGGGATTACAGGCGTGAGCCACCACGCCTGGCCCAAATATTTTTACCATTGGGATAATTTCCATCTTTTTTATTCATTTGAAATGTGCAAATCCCAGCATTTTAAATACTTTTTTTCCTTTCAGTTAAGAGAAGATTAACCTGTCACCTCCAGGGATAACTGTGAAAATATTCATTAGAACTTTGTGTCAGTCATTAAAATCACTCCCTTTTGTGTACCCTCAACTTATTTGCTCTTCTCTCATATCATGTACTTGCTTATCAAAACCATAACCCTGTGAGAATCCAGCACTTCACTCTGTACCACATTGATGAAGCTGAAGCTGAAGGAAAACATGTAACTACACTGACTGGTCTCACATAAATTCATGACCACATACCTTAAGTGAGCCCTTTGTGTTACAGGTTCATCATACTACACTTCCCTAGTCCAATCATTCTCACTTGATGACTAATTCACACTTATTCTTCTCTCCTCAAGCCTTCAGCACATCCTTTCTGACCCTCACTCTCATATGCTGATGTGCCTTTTACTTCCCTAAGAAATTTGAAACAATCAAAAAAGAACTCCTATAGATTGCTACCATCATACCTACCCACCGGCAAGCATCTGCATCCACATACTCTGCCTTCCTGTTCATTACTATTGATGAACTAGCCAAAGTCAGCCTTCTACTTGTGCACTAGAAAGAGCCTATCTCTTCACATCTACTCAAGAACGCAACTCTACCAATTCTCCTCTTTCTCTTCTGTATCATCAAATCTTTTTTTCTGTATTTTATCACTTTTATTAGCATACAACATACTATTAAATTTACCAATCTTAAATAAAAGAACTCTCTTGATACCACTACCCAGCCTGCCACTCTTATTCATTCCCTTTTGCAACAAAATGCCACAGAAGAGTTCTCTACACTACTTGCCTCCAGTTACTCTCCTCCAATTCTCTTTTAACACTCACTCCAAGAGGCTTTTGCCCCTACCACTTCACTAAAATATGTACGTGAACAATGATCTCCACAATGCTAAGTCCCATGGTCAATTCTCAACCTGCATTTTATCTAACCTATCAATGAACAGCATTTAAGAGTTGATGACTCCCTTTTCCTTAATATACATTCCTTGCTTGGCTCCCAAAACATCACCTTCTGTTAGTTTTGTCATTGTAAAATAGAGTTAATTTATCTAGTCAGTAGTATTCTCCCAGAAGACCACATAATAATACTTGCTTTCTGAGACTTGTGAAAGCTATGAATTGTTTTCCTAGGTGATTGGGAAGTAGGTACTGAGGATAACTCTTAAATCCCTTTATTAATGTATCCTATTTACCTGTAAAGACAGTTCCTTCATCAGTTAACAGATGCTTCTCTTTTATCTTTGAACTTTAGTCTTATTGCGTCCATCTATTTACCTGGGGAAATTGTTAAATATTAAGCAATAAACTTTCTTATATTGTGTATTTTTCAAAACCTTTTTTATATGTTAAACCTGTATCATTCTACCTAGATGTCTCCTGGTAAGTGAGATCAGTTTATGAGTCACTTTTGTTTTTCATGTTTATACTAATTCTATTTTGGAATGGTGGTGAAGTAAAAATCGTAATTTCACCACTTAAGATTTTTCCTATTATCCTTTGAAGTGGTTTTGAACACATTGGTGTGCTCTAAGATCACCATAGGTAGGATTTTAGGTAGAAATTTCTGATTTTTATAAAAATCATATTCACCAACAAAAGTGGATGGAATAGACCTTTGGGAAACAATACTTACCTGAATCTCCACTAATTTGTCATTGGTTAAATTAGACGCCTCCTTTTACAATCGTCTTTGACACTCTATGAGTTAGAGAGACCCATATTGTAAACTATTTTCTGGGTAGAAAGATACTAGCTGGAATCACACAGGGAAATATACTTTAAAAATAGTGATGATGGTTACTGTCCTTTGAACAATTAAACTATGCCAGGCATATAACACCACCATACTTAACACCTCCTCACGCCAACCTACCCGCATCCTGATCTCTCTCTTTCTCCTTCCCTTACTTCGTTTTTCTTCATAGTTCCCATCTGTACCTGATATTTTAAGGTTATTGTCTCTTTTCACTAACAGGATGCTTTTTCTTGCCCACCTTTGCAGCTCTAGCATTCATTACAATGAATGGCACACACTAGGCACTCAGTATTAGTTGAAAGAATAAATAAGTGTCCATCACCTCATTTAATTCTCTTAGCCACACTATAAGATAGATACTGATGTTACCCCCAGTAAACAGAGGAAGAAACTAACACTTTAAAAGGCTAAATAACTTCCCAGAGGTCAAGCAACAAGTAAGTACAGAGCCTAGGTTCTCAGCTAATGTGCATATTGCTTCAAGGAAAATGAACTGTTATTGTTATTTACAATTAACACCTGAAATTAAAATAAAACAAAACACACGAACAAAGAAACTCTCCACAGGAGAAGAGGAAGATTCCTGCTGTACCAAATGGAACAGCAGCTCATGGGGAAGCAGAGCCCCACGGAGGGCATAGTGGACCTGAACTCCAGAGAACTGGAAGGTTAGTGAAAATCACTTCTATGGTACTTCAACGACCAAATGACATACCATTCTTCTCTGTTAGGAATTGCTATTTTGGGATCTAATTTATTTTATACTTTCAATAGCTGCTTTTTGAGGGTGAAAATGCCAATTAGTTTGATTTCTCTGAAGTTGCTAATGATTGTCATTACTGTTAAACTAAAACAGTGGAGACACCCTTCCATTATACTTTACCTAGTCTTTCATTTTGCTGTGCATAAAATGCATTCCCAGATTCTTAGAATGAAAAGGAAAACCCTCAATTGACCCTTCCAAAAGAACCCATTGAAAGCTTCAAGTTCAAGATAGAAATAAAACTAAATACCAACAACTCAGTCTTGTAGGCCCTATCTCATTAAATGCAAGTAGGATGTATATAATGGTATTTTTTATTTTTACGGCTGTGATTTGAAAGAGCTATATGATTTATTTTCTAATCACACATCTTTGAAGAGATGAAAGCTTCAATTTATTTCTTAAAATGGTGCTTTATGGTTTTTTTTGACAGCTTGTCTCTCTCTAAGCAATGTGTGAGCAGAAAATCAGAAACCTTTGGGTGGGTCTGTCTTCAGGGAATATGTGTATAGCCTCCATTGTAATTAAAGGCAGTTGCAAAGACTTTGCAGGATTGGTGCTCCCCTCCCCTCAAGGCCATTTTCTGTACTGCTTGCAATGTGTCCTCTAAGCTGACTTTCCAGTTCCCGAGCACTCTGCATTTTAATTCTGTGTTCTTTCCATTTATCTATGTGTTGTCTCTGAGGAAATGTCCTTTAATGTCTTCCTCAGGCTTGATACCTAATTTGAGATGGTTCAAACAATTTTTTCCTTTTCCCTTCACTGGAACCTTTGTTACTCATTCTGTTTGCTTTCATACTTTTGAATGCTGTCTTTTTATTTTTGGTGGTATTTTTTTTCTCTTTCTCAGGTGTAACATGCCACATAGCTTAGATTTTTTTCGAAGTTCACTTTTCCTTACTGCTTCCTAAATCCTCCCAGGTCACCAATATCCGGTATCTTCGCTTCTCCAGAGTTCTTCCACAGATTCTGTTGCTGACATGACTTGAAGTATCCATTACTCATCTGCTCTCCTGGAGTTGCTGGTGTACATCTGGGCTGCTCTTGCACTGTTCTCTGTAATGAACTCCCACTTCCGGATTTAGATTTTTACTGCTAAAAGCACATTTATACACAGTACTATAACAACTATTCAGACTAATGTATGCTCTAATAAGTAATTGATTAGAATCAATGGTCTAATATAAAGTGCTATCAAAACTATAAATATTAATTACTAATTAATAGCTCATAACCACCTCAAATTCTTTTTGGGATTAGGTGGGATATAAATCATAAATGAATGCCTAAATAGACCGGTAGAGTAAATCTGTTTTGAATTGTGACTTTGATAAATTAACAAATTACTCAGAAATGATCCCCAAAATAAAAAAAAATATATGTGTATGTTTTACTAAACATGGGTAGAGAAGCCTAAGGTGATCTTTATGTGTACAAATATTTCACAGGTTCTCTGCAAGCTTCTCTGAGTTTCAAATGTCCTTTTATTCAATTGAAGTTTAATTCTTCTCAACCCTCTCCTACTCCATAGCTCTCTGATGGAACCAATCATAGGAAAATATAGTGATCTTATACCTGCGTAATAGTAGAATTGTTATTATTAGGTAACGATTACAGATAAATCAGATCAGAGAAATTACATGGTAAAATATTTTAATTATTCATAATATGTACATCTTTTATTTCAAATTCTAACCAGAATTTTTTTCTAAAAAGAACAATCCTTTCTGAAGTGATTCTAGGACTGCCAAATGAATATTCCTATATATAAAATAAATAAGAAAAATGTAACAGTTTTATATGATCCAAGTATACTCAGCATGCTGGCAGTTTATTGGAGCATAAGTTTTTTTCACCATTAACATTAACCTTCACGTAGGAACTTACTCATAGTCTTATTCATTTTGCTATCACATCATTATTCCACGGAACAAAACAACTTACAGTACCCAAATGTTAAGTCTGCATATTGTTATTAGATGTTCATAAAATGAGAATACCTACTTATTAATGCTCTCATTTCTAATAGATTTTTTTAAAAGCTCTCAAATTTAAAGCATCATTTCACAGTTTAATACTTTTCCCCCCAAAAAATTCTCTTTCAAGTGTTTCAATATGGTTTTGGATATATTTGGAGTAAATGAATTTATACCAAGTAAGGTCACTATTGTCTTGTGAATCACAGATGTTGGGATGTGTTAACGCAATAGTGGATCAAAATTACATTTATCTAGTTTGATTATTATTAAGGACTCCCTCCTAGTTTTCTAAAAATGAAAACAGCTCCGGAACCTATCTGTCTCTACTAAGTATTGCTGCCATCCAAAAGGACATTTAGATGTCTTCCTGCAACAATATCTAGTGAGGGATTTTTGTTTGTTTGTTTGTTTGGCTGAGAAAATAGGTAACTGGAGCTATGGTTAAACCTTGCTTTTTCTCTCTAGGGTGATGCTCACTACTGGAGTATAGAAAAGCCAACTAACCCTCCCTCCATCCCTCCCTGCTATGCTAAATGGAATTAAACATTTAGAAATACTGCCAATGATTGAGGGTGGTAGGCCTGAGTTTAGGAGGAGTAGGTTGACGTAGAAATGGCACAGAGATTAGAGTAATCCTTGAATCTCATTATTTGGATTATGATTGGTGAACAGCTCTGAACCTTGTTTAAGAGAACCTGGGATTTTTGGTGGTTGACACGATATTGGGTTAGGAGTTGAGTAACATAGTTGTGCAGTGCCTCCCTGTAGATCATTATAATACAATGCAGCAGGTTATGTGGGTCTCACCTCTGCTGATGGAAAACGTATACTGTGACCTGGCAACAAAGCAAATGAGCATTTTGACTTGTGTGTTTTTTTATGTTTGGGTTTCACTATTGTGTTTTCCCCCCCTGTCTTAGGATTTTTGGGGGACTTATTTTAGATATCAAAAGAAAAGCTCCATACTTCTGGAGTGACTTCAGAGATGCTTTCAGCTTGCAGTGCTTAGCATCTTTTCTGTTTCTCTACTGCGCGTGTATGTCTCCTGTCATCACATTTGGAGGACTGCTGGGAGAAGCAACTGAAGGGCGTATAGTATGTATCATGCTTTTCTCTGAACTTTGAAACATCCATTTTTAAGATTCAGTTAGATAAGCATTTAATTTTGGAGAGATTTGAGATATGGTCTGCTAGATAAACCTTATATGAATTTCCTGGATGGCTAGTGGAACTTGTAATCTGGGGGTGGAATATCTCAGAATGACTAGTTCTGTGTCTTACAAAAGGTTCTCATCTGATGCCTTGCCCTCAGCCCCCCAATCCTAAGCTAGGTTTAGGCTCAGTTCTTGTCTCACAAGAGGTCCATTTGCTATATACCTGGGCCATGTTTCTGTCCAGATGCTAATCCTGAATACATTTAAACCTTTTGTAAGGCAACAGAGATGTGAGATAAGAAAGTGAAAAGAACACCTCCACCTTTGCTACTATGCATTTTCTTCTTACTGTCAGCCCCTTTAGTCATCATCCTACCCCACATGCTGCCCAGGATTGCTAGGCTTTTCATGGTGAAGGAGAAAGCACATATCCGTGTATTTTAAATGTCTTCTCCTTAACTACAATGGCTTCCTGTACAGCTTAGGTAATTGAACCATTTATATCTCTACACAGAGTGCAATTGAATCTCTCTTTGGAGCATCCATGACTGGGATAGCCTATTCTCTCTTTGGTGGACAGCCTCTTACCATATTAGGCAGTACAGGACCAGTTTTGGTGTTTGAAAAGATTTTGTTTAAATTTTGCAAGTAAGTGTTATGTACTTTTCAGCCCTTAGCCTCTTCCTTTTCTCTTTACTATATTTATACTTCTCCCAACATCACTTTTGGAGGTCTGTTAATAGAGACAGAATTGCCTGGTTTGATTCAGTTTATCATTTTTGCTTCATCATGGGAACAGAGGAAAAGCAAAAGATTTATGTATATTGTTATGTAATATTTTTAAAAAGTAAGACTCAGTTATAAGCACTGAGAAATCCCTTTTAATTTTGTCCCTTTAGATGTTCCCTTTAGACCAGTGGTCCCTAACCATTTTGGTGCCAGGGACTGGTTTCATGGAAGACAATTTTTCCATAAATTGGGTGGGGGAGATGGTTTTGGAATGAAGCTATTCTACCTCAGATCATCAGGCATTAGATTCTCATGAGGAGTACACAACCTAGATCCCTCACATGCACAGTTCACAATAGGGCTTGTGCTCCTATGAGAATCTAATGTCGCCACTGATCTGACAGGAGGCGGAGCTCAGACTGTAATGCTCACTCGCCTGCCACTCACCTCCTGCTGTGCAACCCTGTTCCTAACAGGCCACAGACAGGGGGTTGAGGACCCCTGCTTTAGACAAAGTCTTGAATTTAGATACTCATAGGATGTGAAGCTTATTTACTTTCACTTCCTGAATGAGGTTTGTTTTCATTTGCTTAAAATGATAGCAAGCTGTTGAATGACCTTCTTTTCACTGTTCTTTCCTTTTCCTCCTCCCAGAGAATATGGGCTGTCATACCTATCTTTAAGAGCTAGCATTGGACTTTGGACAGCAACTCTGTGTATCATACTTGTGGCTACTGATGCTAGTTCCCTTGTCTGCTACATCACTCGGTTTACTGAAGAAGCTTTTGCTTCCCTGATTTGCATCATTTTCATTTATGAGGCCCTGGAGAAGTTGTTTGAACTCAGTGAAGCTTATCCAATCAACATGCATAATGATCTGGAACTGCTGACACAATACTCGTAAGTACCATTTCCCCTGCTGGCTTTGGGGCTTTTCTTTTTACAAATATTACTATTGTTACAAGAAATATGAGGAAATTACTCAGCAGAGAATGTGCCTTAAGTTGATTCATGACCTAAATCCTGACTCTCAGAGTTGAACAGGATTTTAAAAGTTATTTAATCAGCCTCTCATCTGCTGCTTGCATTATCATTATACCATCTCTGCCAAGAGTATCTTTTTAAAGTTCTATTTGTCTAGTGTTCTCTAAAATAAGTAGATAAGGAACCAAGTCCATTTTAATTCATGAATTTTACTTTAGCAAAATATATGCTATTTGGTGTTACTTCAGGGTCTTTTTAATTTACAATAATTCAAAGAAACATAGTAATGAAAATATAAGGTTTCAAATTTAGAACAATAAGGTAACATAAACTTATTGGGTCTAAATCTTACTAGATGTTTGAAAGTGTGGTAAGGACATAAATCACTGAATGAAAAATTTAATTTTGGTTTTGGCACGTGTGACATTTGCGATGGAAATACTCAGGTATTACTTGTTGAAAGTGATGTTGCAGTCCAGGATTAAAGATGTGATTGGATCTGTTGCTCCTTCTAGTTTTGGTGTATCAACAGTCTGGAATGTCTCTCAGTTTTTTATACTGCAAATATCTGAAACAATATGTTCTTTAGGAGACAGTTATAATCTCTGCATCAACCACCAATGATTTCCATATAAACTGCATAGATATGGCCTTGAACCCTTTTAATATTTTTTAATCTTTATTTACTACAAGAAGTTTAAATTGTTGAAGTCAGACCAAAATCGTGCAATGTTATAATTTTGTTAAGAATGATGTAATGATATAATGTTGAAAATAATGTGTTTTAGTACTTTCACTTTTATTTTATATTTAGAGATAACTTTAAACACTGACCCCCATTTTTGAATAAGAAAAATCAAAGTGGAAATATAAAATAACTTTCCCAATAAAAGCAAATAGTGAGAATGTTGTAAACAGGGCTAAGAAGGGACTGAGCATAGTTGTCAAGGAAATGGGAAGGATAGTTTGATCAAAACCAGGGATAACATTGATACATGCCTTTTCATTTATCCTTATCTGAAAGAGAATCTCACTGAATTTGGATATCCTTGCTGAGATATGTAATTATCTCTGGTTGGATTTTCAAAGGATATCCTTTGAAATGGATATCCTTGCTGAGATATGTAATTATCTCTGGTTGGATTTTCAAATCTACTACATGCCAGGCACTATACTAGGTGCTAGGAAAACCATGGTGATTAATATTCTGTCCTCAGTGAGCTTCCAGTTTAGTAGGGAATGTAGACAAACAGACAGCATGAGGAAATGAGTGCCAGATTAAAATGTTGGTACAGAATGCTATAGCACCACATCAGGAGAGCACCTAACCCAGATTTGAGGTTCAGAGAAGCCTTCCTGGAGGAAATAACGTAGAATAAAAATGCAGTAGAAGTTAGGAAGGTGCTAAGGAATAGGACAGAAAAGTAGTTCAGACAAAGGGCATTCACAGGACTAGATGCAAGAGATGCATTCATGCTTTAAAATATTTGTGTAAAGTTATATAGATAGTGGTAAAACAAATGAAATCCAGGTTTTGTTACTGATATAATTTTCAGTACACTGATGAATACAAATAAACTCTCCAAAAGAAACCAAGTAAAACAAATAAAACAGGTAAAATCAGAACTATTCTGTTTCAAGTGGTAGGAAGGCACCCATTGCCTACCCTGTCAACTGTTCTTTGAACCTTAGTGATAGCTTCTCAGGTACTTCAGACTGAGAACATACTTTAAAATCCCTTGGTCTAGAAAGGAAAAAAATTGGAAAAGCAAGGTCTGAGCCCTGAACAATTTTCACAGCTTAAAAGTAGAATAGGAAAATATGCAAATAGGAAAAATGCAACCAATAGGCAAAAAATAAATACATAAATAAATAAAAAATAAGAAAGAAGCATCAGAGGAAACTATGGATAATGTCAGGTCACAGAAGGCAAGGAACAAGAAATGTATCACAAAGTCTTTAGAGAGGACAGTGGGGTGGGTATCAAACAGAACAAGGAAAAGCATTTGAAAAGAGATACTTGGTAACTTTAAAAACTGGTATTGGGTTGGGAGAGGAGGCAGAATGGGAGGTCAGTTTGCAAAAACTAACAAGGAAGTGGGTGGTAAGGAAATGGAGAAAGCTGCGTAGGCCAGTTGGTGTCAAAGAAAGTGGGAAACAGAATGCCTTTTGAAGAGGGCAATGAAATAATAAGATTGATAATTTGTGACAGAGAAGAACTATGCATGTTTAAAAATGGGAGAATAGAAACTGAGGAAAGGGAGACAGCAACAATGGAGAGAGAGTAGATAAACACGGGATTGCAACCTCCCAGGAGTCAAAAAAATGATGAGATCAAGGGGTTAAGTAAGACAAATGCTCAGAGGGTAATTTGAAAGCTAAAATAGCTTTATGTGGCCATGATCCCCGCCTGTCATGGTGATCAAAAGAGGAGTGACAGAGGTCCTGACTTTCTCCACATTTCCATCTCTGCTTTTTAAAAAGTGATCCTTTTTATTTAGGCATGTTTAGGTTTTACTTCGATCAGTGTGGGCATCTAAAACCTAATTCTTCCAAGGCTGAACATGAATGTGTGCTGATGACTGTGTTCCATTGCCCAAGTGCCCTTCTCAACCCAATTTAGGGAGATAGAAGGGATGGAAAGACTGGTTCATCCTGATGGGCATGAGGTTTTAGTGCCACCTGGCACCTGAAATGGGTGTGTGTGACGGAAACAATGACAGTCTCATGGGAAACGGGATCTGATGAGATATCCTCATTGCACTGGTTCTTCACTCCAGTTGTTAAGCCTTGATTGTCTGGCTTCCAGTACCACTTACACTGTGTACATGAATCTGATCTGGTATTTCCATCACTTGCTCCTTGTAGTAGCAAAATTGATCTTTTTTTGCTATGCATAGAATGCATATATTTATTAGTGTAGTTTTAGTTATGTTCATTAAAGAAAATAATACATTATTGTTAATTACGGCTATTTTAATGTATTTTGTAATCTCATACTTTTGCACAAAACATTTACTTTGTCTCATGAAGTCCAGATGACACTTTTAGTGGCTTTCTTGTTACTGTGACCTTTTCACATTTAATCAGTGTCATTTATAACAATGTCCACCTAAAGTTTTCTACTTTAGATGTGGCTGACCTCATATTTATTATACTATGCAGGTTCATTAGAAAAATTCCTAGAAAATGTTATAGCTAGAACACAATATATCTGAGATTGCAACCTTTGCAAGCAATATGCCTATAATGTACATATTTGTTTGGGTATAAGATATTTGAAAAAAGTCATCATGTTTAGGATCTGTATTTCAGATTTTTTTTTAATACTTAGCCTCCTACAATCAGATTTCCTTAAATTCATAGTTTATCAACCAAATAACAAGATGTCTTTGACTTTTTGAAGACATATCTAGCTCCTCTGTCATCCTAACCTTATAATATGGTAATATACAGACCTTATATTTGAAAATATAAGCTTTTCTTTCATTGTGCCAAGATCAAGTGTCAAGATCATCTATTTATCTTTGAGAATACATACATTGCACCAGACGATTAAGCTGAATATGCCAGGTTAGCAATAAAAAACAAGTTTATGAGAATAATCTTTCCTTGGTTGCTTTGATTTTAAGAAATGGCAAAAATAGAATGAAGTGTTGTGCTTTCATAAGATGAAGTGTTTCTTTCAGGTTTGGGAATAATAAACTTTTGAAAGACAACTAGCTAAAGAAAAATTAAGAATGTATTTATTAATGTTTTGTAATCAATTGGGTCAAAGCAATATGTAGGGTCTGATTATCTCTCTCGTTTCTGATATATATGTAGACTAGAGTGAAATAAAATATAATGATTAACAAGCTGTTGAAGGAGTGTTCTCACTAGCAGGTTATGAGAATATTTTTTTGTTTTCTTTTCCTCTTTTTTGTTTCTCCAACACCCAGCCCTCTACATAACCCAAGATAGCGACCTGTTTTAAATAAATTTTATTTACTGACTGACATACAGAAGAATATCCTCTTTCTCATCTTCTCAACTAGATTTGAACCTCCTTTAAAGTAGAAAACATGTAACAATGAGAATTTCATTCTCACTGTCCCTAATTTTATCTCCCACAGTCCCAGCATAATATTGTAAATACGGTTAAGTGATACTTAATGTATACTGATTAATGGAACATGTTGCAAAATAATTGACATTATTTTGCCAATCTTGTTCTCTAAGTAAAGAAAATAGTGCTTGTTTCCATTATCTTTAACAGCACTCTTAAAGATTTTAGCTAGAAGTTTGGGATAAATTTGACACATTATGAAATTCTTAATATACAATAAAGGTATATAAATTTGAATTGATAAAACTAATGATGACTGAAAATTTAGACAGGGTGCCAACATTGTGGAGAAATCATCTGAAAAAAAAGGCAAGAGAAACAGGAGTGCAATTTACAGCAGAACTCCCAAGGGTGATAGATGTGGGGAGACAGAGGATGAAACAGAGTAATCATACTGCATGAACCTTTTAGTACTCACTAGTCAAAAAATAGAGAATAAAACAGATTTAGAGAAATATCTGTTTGAACGTTTTTAAATCACATTTTTTGCTATGTATACACTTGACTGGATTTATCCAGAATTGCTTGCAACATAACATGATAATTATATTTTTAGGTGTTTATTTGTGTACCTCCACTAGATTTATCTTTATAATGATAGATCATGGCTATTAGGCAGATCTATGTACCTACTATATCTAGCAAAGTGCTTGGCACATATTATATGAACATGTTTGTTCATATTTTTACATTTCTGAAAATACTTCTCACAACTGATGGGCACATTTCCTATATTGTTTCCCCCAAAAAAGCTAGATTCTTTGACATCTTAGATTCAAATAAATATAATAGTAGGCACTCAATAAAT